CAATGGAATTTCCCATTGGGAACCTGCTAGCACTAAGTTGCTAACTGGTTAGCAAGATGCTTCAGAGAAACCGGCCACAACCAAACTTGCTTGAGAACCTTTCACCACAACAATCCCGCCCCTTGAAAAACAACCAATCACATTTACTTTATTCACTCTTGTAAAGTCGTGCACCACTCGGGAGAATTCGGAAATGCAACAATTGGAACAACTTTAAAGATTTCACAATAATCCTAGATGGGGCTGACTGTGGAGCTGGTTTACAGTTGCCGTCTGTGTCTCTGCTTCTGTCTCCTTGAACCCCAGTCGGCCTCAGCAGATGGCCGCTCACACTGAGCCTGGTTCTGCTGGAGGTTTCTTCGTGTTCAAAGGGAGTTTTTCCTCTCCACTGTCGCTACAAACATGCTTAGTGTGAGGGATTGCTGAAGAGTCAATAAGTCGATGCAATCAGCTGGTTTTCCTTAGATAGGGTCAATATGACTGGATGATCTGGTGAACGGGAAAGTACCTTCAGATGACATGTGTTGTGAATTGGTGCTATAGAAATAAACTCAATTTAATTAAATATAATGGCTGATGAAAGAGAGGGTTTGAATTACCTCAACAGCGTCCAACTTAATTGTAAACCCCACGTTTATAGCTACATGTGGAGCAGCAGAGTGGGATGCAAGATGTCATACTTGAACCAGTGCTGAACGGTTTTGCCAAAACTCAAAATTGCAATTGCATCTTTACCTTTGCACTAGTCCCAAGCTTGCAGATGTCTCTCCCTAGGCTTTCAGTTTTTGAAAGCTTGCTTGCCCAGAGTCAATTGTTGCACAAGTTTACTGTAACCTTTATGTAAAGTAAAGCTTACTTTTATTTGCATGCATGGATGTGCATGCTACCTGCAACTCTCTCCTTTCTTCATGGTGATAAACCCACTTCAAGTGTTTTACCAACAGAAATGTAGAGCCTTACTGTTGTTAAATACAATTCGATTAGTTGTCCCTGTAATTTGGAAATAGCATTTTGGTAAATTAGGGTTATATTGTAAAAGCAATTGATTGCACAGCCCTAATTTGATCCTTTATCCCAGTAGCCGTATAGACTACAGATTGGATTATTTCACCATAACTGCAGCTTTAATGACCGGTCAGCCGCCTCGGTTTGATGAGCTGTATGTGTTTGTCTTCCAGCCCACGTTGAGAACGAGGAGCAGTACACTCAGGCTCTGGAGAAGTTTGGGGAAAACTGTGTTTACAGAGATGATCCAGACCTGGGTTCAGCCTTTCTCAAGTTCTCCGTCTTCACCAAGGAGCTGACTTCGCTTTTCAAAAACCTTGTAAGTATGTGTGGGTAGAGCCCTCTGACACACATGTCTGAGCACATCACAGGTCCAGCTGGATCCCAGCGCCTCCTTAATGGAGCTCCAGCTTTTCCACTGACAGGGAGACATTTTAGCACCAAAAATCCCCTAAATCTGGGTCAGCCTGAAGCTGCTCACTGGTTTTATTTTTATCACTTGCAAAGATGTAAAGTATGAGCTTTTGCCTGAGCTGGATGTTGATTTGGAAGCATGTCTGTGAGCTCAGACTTCCAGGGCTTTACGTTTAAGATCCGGAAGACCTTTTAGTGACAGGCGTCATTTTGTCTGTTCTGAATGCTTTTATTCAGCTTGCTGAGTTTTTAATCAGTAAAAATGCAAATGCAACCTCTGATCCTCCTCTTCCTGTTTGCCTCTCAGTTCCAGAACATGAACAACATCATCACCTTCCCCCTGGACAGCCTGCTGAAAGGAGACCTGAAGGGAGTTAAAGGGGTAAGGCTGCCGCTTCCTCTGGGATCTTTATAACGAGCAGAACCTGAGAGCAGAACTGCCCTAACCATCCAGGTCCTGCAGCTGCATTACTGGGTTATCCATAGATCACCATCACCTGATTGATTTTATTTTTGTTTTATTTGGTTGGGACAGTGCCTGTTAATGGACATACATGCAATGTAAACATGGCAGATTATAGCCCCAGGCTGATTTTCATCTGTTGTCCCAAAGGGCAGGGTCACACGTGGGTCAGACAGAGCCAGTTACACAGAAAGAACAATACAATATATATCCACATTGCACATTCTCAATAATAGACTCAGCCCCTCAATCATGTTTTTGTTTTTTACAGCAGAGAGAGGCAGGGTTTTTTTCAAGCGTGCTTACAGGTCTGTCTGTTACAGATTTGATTTTAACACAAAGAATACAAAATTAAACAACAAAATAAGAAAACTCTCTTCTCCAGCGAAGCTCCATAAAGAATAAAAAAATCTCCACCCCAGTATTTAGTCTGTTTGATTTTGAGCATTCAGATGAACATTTGAATAAAGATAATATAAAATTGTCAGAGAGACTGGAAATGAGGAAACTATTCTCACTGGACTAAAACACAAGGAAACAATGTTGACCTTATTGGGTTTTAGCATTGTCCACAGCTGCTTAACAGTATTTCCAGTGATGCAAAAGACGCGCTCTGCAGGTGGGCTTTTCTTTTCCCACAAAGTCACCTGCAAAAACATATTGCCGTCCCCATTTGATGGACTAATGAATATCGACTGGAAAATTGTTAGATATCTCCCAACCCTAAATCAGTGCTTCTTATCCTTTTTTGAGGTACCAAACCCACCAGTTTCATATGCACATTCACTGAAACATTCTTCACTGATAAATAAAATATTAATGTTTTTCCAAATTCAAGACACAGGTATATGTATTTTACTGGTGCAAAAATGGTGGTGTACATGAACATCACCTTGCTCAACAAACAAAACCAACACAGTGCATGAACTCACAGCAAATTATGGTATTTTATTCTGGTCCCCAAAAAATATTGTGTCCCAATAAAAGAATTTCAGCCCCCCATTTTTTTTTTTTTAAAGAATTTAAAGGGGTCATAGAATGCAAAACTTAGTTTATATGGTTATAGATGAATAACAATAGTTAAGTCCGGGAAATGGACGTACAGAGAAGTTCTAACCCTATCGATACCTCCTTTCTCTGCAAATCTCACAATCCTAAACTTCCACCATAAAACGGGAGAATCCAAACGAAGCCCCGAATTGACGGAAACTCTGGGATGTTACCTTATTTGGTCCTGGCCTGTACTGTTGTCACGCCCCGAAATTGACATAGACCAGCCCACTGGTTCACTGCTGGGCCGCTGACTGGACCGGACCTCAGCAGAGAGCCATGAGCCGCCCGTCCTCAGCTTGAAGAGGGGCAATACAATGTTCCAGGTGACTGGTTGTCAGAGAGCTGATTGAATAAGTTAGGAAAATAAGCCAATAAGTTTCGGTTTACTCTCTAACAGTCACCTTGTTACCACTCAAAGCTGTGCAAACTGTGAAATAGGTTGAATCCTTCAGTAAAAAAACAAAATATAAGATTCATTTTACAGCAGAATATACTAAAGTATGTCCACAGCTAGTGAAGGTGAAGAATGATGAAGTGTGTATGTATGTATTTGACCAAAATCCCAGATGATTTTTAAATTTCCCAGACATTTTTTTAGGCATGAAAAGTAGGATATGTCCGGGAAAAAGAGGACATCTGGTCCCCCTACCATATCAACAATCTGATGTTTCAGTGAGTGAGTG